GAGGAAATTTGAAGGCAGCATATTTTTCAGGTTGTGGCATAGGTATTGCTGGCTGTTTTTTTAATCAGGTTTACTGTGATTATTGGGAGCAAAAGGCAGAGCAGAAAGGTTTGAAAACTTTTTCATAGAGACTATAGGGAAGATGTCTTGAAGCAATCAGCAAGACCTCACCCTTCACAAGTTCAAGGTGTAAAAGTGAAAGTCCTTTTGAAAGATGTTGCTTGGAAAAGAGAGCTGGGGTGTGCCCTGCTCCCACAGGCTGACTAGGAAACTGTTTTCCTGGGATTTGTTTTGCTGTGTTCAGCCACCCAGGCACTAAGGGGCCACTGCAGCCATGGTCCAAGGAGGGATGGCTGTCACTCGGATCTTGGCATTATCCATCTGATGCTCGTTTTGCAGGAATGAAAATTGCTGGATTTACAGGGTCATGGAAGCTTCCACACAGACTGAAAAGGGAGGACACGGAAGCCAGAAAATGTGTGTCAGGGTTGGAATCTCTTCAGGCAGCCCCTGAAAGGATGATGCTTGAAGCTGTGATCATGAACTTGAAGCTCCAATGGATATTCCAGGAAGTCTGAGCTTCCAGGAATATAGATCATCCGCCCCCAATCCAGGAGAGAGGCCACGAGGGCTGTAACTGATAAGGCCATAGGGGTGCGGCTGCCCCAGCCATTTGGAACTCATATCTCACTACCTTGAACGTCCCCTACTACGGAGCTCTGGTACTTAGCATGTGCCCTGCTGGGTTTCTGTGTTGCTTTGGTAACATCCCTTCTCTCTATAGGCCTATTCTTCACTTTTAGTGTTTATTCTGTGCCATTGCACACAAGAAACGTAGCTTGCTTTCTGATTGTTACACGGGCTCACAATGAAGGGTTTCCCTTGAGTCTCAGTAGAGACCTTGGACTTGAACTTTTGAGCTATGCTGGAGCTGTTAAGGTTTTGGAGATAGACTGAATCCTTCTGTGTTGTGAAATGGGCATGACCCTTTGAGGCCAGGGGCAGCATGATATGGGTTGGATCTAGAACATCTCCCCAAGATTTATGTGTTCAATTATTTTCAAAAATAATTGGATTGTGAGGACTCTGACCTCATCTGTGGATGAGTCCATTGACAGCTGATGGGTTCCTGGGAGGCAGGAGCCAGTTGGAGGAAGTGGGTCACTGGGGGTGTGCCCTGGAAGGCCTTATCTTCTCACTCATCTCTCTCTGTTCTCTGGCTGCCACAAGCTGAGCAGCTTTCTTCCACCACACCCTCTGCCATGCTATTGCTGCCTCAGAGACGACAGACCATGGGCTGAAACCTGAACTCTGAGCCAAAATAAACCCTTCCTTTTTAAGTGGTCTTGTTAGACTTTTGCTCCCAGTAATGAAAGCTGACCACCACACCCCTCTGCATCGGTTTTATCCTCTTTTGGATGAAGCCCCGGTTGAAGCCTTGCCTTCTGTGTCCACGACACCCAGCCAGGTCTAGTTTCTATCATTTTGGTGATGACATATCCATCTCTACTACAAAATGTCAAAAGAGTCTGATTTATTTGGAGAATAACACTAGAATAATGGGACCCGCTGCCGCAGTCTGGCTGGGCACAATCAGGAGCCACTTGTCAAAAGAAACTAACTTTATTTTTAGAACCACACACGCCAAACAAAACAGCCTCTCAGGAAAAACCCTCAGAGCCTCAACTGCCACCACCGGCTTCCCACAAGCCTCTCTCTCCCACACAAGCTTCTCTCCACCTCCCACAATCCTCCTGCTCTTGAGGCCGATTGGCTGGGTCACGTGGGCGGAGCCAAAAAAGTCCCCCAATGAGCAGCTCCTTGGTCTGAAAGGGCAGGGAAACAGCCCAATGAGCATCACCGCAGAGGAGCCAATCAGCTAGATGTTGCTGGGGCCGCTGTGAGCCAATCATCAGCCGGCAGCTGGAAGTTTTCTGGGGCCCCTTCAGGCTGTGGCTCTCAACATCTCCCCCTCTCTGTTTAAACAACAAGCATGTGGCTTAGGGACCGTGCCTGCCTTAGGTTGTCCAATAGTACATATGGTCCTTAGGTTGGTACCATTGCAATTGGATCTTACCCGTCACTGACTACCGGTCCAGTATACAGCCACACCTGTGGAGAGGTCTTTGTACCAGTGGGGGGGTGAGGTTCTTTGCCTCACCTCTGTTGGCCCCCAAATTTTAGCTGGACGATCATGACAAGCAGAAGGGAGGAAGATACACCAGGCCAATTGACGGCTCCTTTTGGAAAAAATTGTACCACCAATGACATCATCAGCAAAAATACCCCAACACTACCACAAGTCGCTGCACCAACAGATAGTTCACAATGCATACAGGTGAGTTCACAATGTGTCCAGGCAAGTTCTGCAAGCAGTTCAGTGATGGCTATTGTAGAAGCTGTAGATTGGTTTTATCTTTGACTTCACCAGCACTGGGATGAAGATAGGAATTCTGGCAATAATGGCTAAAGAAAAAATTATGTAACATCACAGAAGGCACTAAAAGAAAACAATTTTCTTAACAATTTACATTGTCTTCACCGGCACTGGGATGAAGATAGGAATTCTGGCAATAATGGCTAAAGAAAAAATTATGTAACATTACAGAAGGCACTAAAAGAAAACAATTTTCTTAACAATTTACATTATCTTTAAGAGAATTATTAAATATAATGAAAAGGAAAGGTGAAAGTAAACAAACAGATCTGTTAACCTTCTTTTTTGTTTACATATTAAAACAATCCTCAACAGTTGTTTACCCAATTTAAATTAAACCATATAAATCACGTGAAAAAAAAATTTGGATCCATTTTATCATGAGCGCTCATCATACATGATATATGGACATACGTACATTCAAACATATAACACAAAACACAAGTGTGCACACATAATATAATACATACAACACATAACATTATAGTAAAGGCCTTATAACTTTTTACAGGTGAAATCTCCATTGCAATGTTTAAAAACTCTATAGTCAAAAAAAATAGAACTGATCAGCAAAACATTAACCTAGGTCTGTATGAGCTCAAAAAACAAAATAGAACTTTAAAGAACCACACATTGATGACATGGTACCTGAAACCCATTGCTTATTTGGATCTGAAATGTACCCCCCCACACCATGGCTCATGTGTTGAAGGCTTGGTCCCCAACGCAGCAAGGTTCAAAGGTGAGGCTCTTGGAGGTGATTGGCTCATGAGGGCTCTGACCTCATCAGTGGATTCAACGGAGGGTGGATTCCCTGTGGGGGGTTGTTGGGAGACGGGCCCTTGGAGGCCTGCTCTACAGAGCTCCCCGCCATGAGGTTCTGCCTCACGGCAGGCCCAGAGAAATGGGGCAAGATTGAGAAAACTGAAACTTGAGACCAGAGACCAAAACTGATCTTTCTTCTTTTCCGTTATTTTTCTTGGGTATTTTGTTACAGTGACAGAAACCTCAGGAGCATCCCTGCGTCCTCCTGGCTCAGTCCTCCAGTTCAGGGCCTGGCCTCTTCCTTGCCATCTGGCCTCGGCTGATCTGCACCCCTGTAGGACTCCGTTTTCGCCTCCGTAGAATGGGGGTGCTTGCAGCCCCCTGGTGGGGCTGCCCAGTGTCCCTCTTGGAGCTCTTGCCACCGTGAACTGGACCTGCCCCTGGCCGGGGTGCCTTGAGTGGCGATGGGGACAGTCTGGAGGCCTGGGATTGGGGAAGGAGGAAGTGGATTCCGGTCTGCCCCTGCTGCAGGGCTCTGGGCCACCCATGGGTGGGGCAGGGGTGGGGCTGCTGTGTGCCCCCTCTCTCCTCCTCCCCTGCTTTCCAGAAACTTCTTTCAGCCTTCTTCCTCCACTTCCCATCTGGGATTCTTCTTCTGGTGTCTTGGGCTCAAGGGGGCTGGAATTTGGGCGGGTGGCAGGGTCCCCACTTTGATTCGTTCTTGGTCTGGGCAGTGGTGGGGACGAGGACACCTTGAGCCCATTCCCCTGTCTGCAACTTCAGTGGAAAGGTGCGAGGAGTTCTGGGAGGAGGAGCAAGAGAGAGCCTTGACGGAGAGAAACAGGACAGATGTGGTGACAGGGTAGGAGGGAGACGGGACAGAATAATCGAGACAGATTTAGAGGTGAGGGGACCTAGAAGTGGTCAGCACGATTGAACAGCTTCTGCCATTGGGCAAACTGCTTCGCTTCCAGCCTCGGTCTCCTTTTCTCTAAAATGTGGTGCTCTGAGCTGGGCGCACCCCTGCAATCCCAGTGACTCGGGAGGCTGAGGCAGGAGGATTGCAAGTTCAAAGCCAGCCTCAGCAATTGAGCGAGGCCCTAAACAACGTAGTGAGACCATCTTAAAATGAAAAACAAAAAGGGCTGGGGATGTGGCTCCACGGTAGGGTGCCCCTGGGTTCAATCCCCAGTATCAAACACAACAGGAAGGGTGACCAGCGCCCCGTGTGCTGTGGCCAGGTCAGTGGTCTCTTGCCCACCAGGCAGCCCGGAGGCTCTTCGTTTGTCTTTCCTGTTCCACCCAAGTCACTGGGCACTTACCATGTGCCTGGCACCCTGTAGAAACCCAGGATAAAGCAAGGGACAAGTGGGCACCATCCTGACCCTGGGAGCCACCCTTCCCCATGATTAACTGTCACTATTGTCATACCATTTCAGAGCCATAAGCTGGGTCTCTGTGCAGCTGTCCTCAGCCCAGGGCAGGAGGCTCCAGCCCAGTGGGGCCCTCAGGACCCAGCATGAACCCCGCACTTCTGCCTGCCAGGAGCGGGGAGGGTTGGCTGGCTGGTGGCAGTGGGGTGAGCCCCTGGCCCGATCTGGGTTTTTCTTATGAACCTGCCTTTTCTTACAGCACAAGGGGAGCCACAGGGCAGCAGGATCCTGCAGGGAGTGTGGGTCCAGGCCAGAACCAGGGCCTGCCCCAGACATGCCAGCTTTGCCCCAGGGCCAGGGTCTGTGCCAGGTGTGGGCGATGGGAGGGGTGAGTCACGGGGCCTGCCCCACCCAGCCTCTACTTAAGGTCCCCCAGCAGCTCGCTGCCACCACCGCTGCTGAACCACTTGCCAGCCATGTCAGGGAGCACCGTGAGTCTAGGGGCCAGGGTTGGTGGGGGCTGTGGGTTTGGACACAGGCTCCCTGGGCCAGGAGGGAGGGCCGAGGCCTGGCTAAGGCCTCCAGTTCCAAGGAGAAAGTGGGTAATGCGCCTGGGAGCTCCCCAGGGCCATGTGTCTGGGCGGACAGTCCTTCCCGTTGATCTCTCTCCCTCTCGATGGCTTCGTCCTGATTTTTCTCTTGAAACCTTTTTTCTCTGTCCCACCCCTGCCTCTGTCTCTTCTCTCCTCTTTCTTTCTCTGTGACCCTTTCTCTTACGCTTTCTGCCCATCCTGACCCTGGCATTTCCCCCTCTCCGGGTTGGTGGACCCACTTCCGTCTCTGTCTCCGGGTTCCCAAGCCCCCCCAATATCCGGAATCTTGCAGAATGTCCCCCATAAGACCTCTCTGCCTGAGGGCCTCCGCGTGGGCACCGTGATGAGGATTCGAGGAGTCGTCCCTGAGAAGGCCAGCAGGTGAGACCGCTCACAGGAGGAAGGGTGGGGACTCTCCAGGCTCAGCCCGTCCCCATCCTTGCAGCCCAGAGACGGTGCCCCAGGGCGTCTCTGTCCACCAGAGCCTTGGAGTCTCCTGGGGGACCTTTTTCTCACATTCAGAAATCTGAATCTCCCTAAGATTCTGGGATTTCAGGGCAACCTCAGGGTTCCTGGGGACGTCCTAGGACTTCCATGTCTGAGCCTCCAAGACTCTGGAAATGTGCCTGGGCTCCCAGAATCCACCTGGGCACCTGGGAGGCCTTGGCAGTCAATCCTATGACTTTCTAGATCTGGGACTTCAGGCCTTCTGGGTGCTCTGTAAATAGTGGGGCCCCTGGTACTGTTCCTAGTCTTTTAGGAATTGAGAATTTCCCGGCAATCTCCTGGGAATCCGAATCACTCTGGCCATTAGTACCAGGACTCGTGGGCAGCTCTTTGGAAATAAGGGGGGCTCTGGCCTGAGCACAGGGACCCTGGTGTAGGGGGATGTGTGCCCAGGAATCCCATAAACCTCATCGGAATCTGCAATCCGTGGCCTTTAGTTGGCCTCCCCCCCTCTGCGGTGTGAGGATTCTGGTCTGGAAATTCTGGCGGGGTCTGGAGAGGGGCGGTCCCAGCACAGCCTTCCCTGAGCGGAGCCCTGTCGCCCACCGTCCCCTGCAGGTTCCACGTAAACCTGCTGTGCAGCGAGGAGCCCGAAGCGGACGCGGCCTTGCATTTCAACCCGCGGCTGGACGCCACCGAGGTGGTCTTCAACAGCAAGGAGCGCGGCGCCTGGGGCCCGGAGGAGCGCGGCCCTGGCCTCCCCTTCCAGCGCGGGCAGCCCTTCGAGGTCCTTCTCATCACCACCGAAGATGGCTTTAAGGTGCGGTCGGCGACAGGGAAGTCCCCAGCGGAGCACTAGGGTCGGCTCTGCGCTGGGAGACAGCTTGGGAACACTGCCAGGAAGGGGCCTACGCAGACCCTCTCCCTGGTTGGGCCACTCCCCGGTGCTGGGCGGTGACAGGGCCAGGGCGAGGTGGACACGAGCCCAAGGGGTGGTGTCTTGTGGGGGGGTGTGGAGTGACCCAGACCAGACATCTTCCACCCTACTCGGGGTCAGTCGTGCTAGAGGGCCAGGCGTAAAGGTCGGAAAGGGGAAGAGCCAGGGAGCGGCTTGGGGACAGCGACTAGGATCTAGTCCCAGAGAGTGGTCGTTGTGACCTTCCCCAAGGCACCCAGACGCAGAGCTGGAACATGGACCTGGTGTCCCTAGGCCGAGTCTAACCCCGACCCTCTCCCCGCAGGCCGTGGTCGGGGACTCCGAGTACCACCACTTCCGTCACCGGCTGCCGCTGACGCGCGTGCGCTTGATGGAGGTGGGCGGCGACGTGCAGCTGGGGTCCGTGAGGGTTTTCTGAGCAGAACCAAGAGCCTGGGGTCGCGGGAGGCCGGGAAGAAGGATGGAAAATAAAGTATTAGACCCCAGTTCCTGTGTCCGTGTCCTTGCATCTGGATGAAGAAACGGGTTCAGGGGCGAAGACCGCGCTTCAGGGTCGCGCAGGGAACCCGTGTCCTAAGCGGGGTTCGCACCCGCACCCGCTCGGGCAGGGCCTGTCTGCTGGAGCGCAGGGGGGTCTCCATGTGGACGGGTCGGTCCTGCGGCTGGTCACGATGCAGCATTTTGCAAAGCAAGTCCCAGGTCCCGGGTTCGGAGCTGATGCGCTGGGACCAGAGCAGCGAGGGGCTCAGCCCATCACCTGGCACCACGTCGCGGGGCCAGCGGACGCCAAAGTGGGTTCATGAGCAAAATGGGGAAATGATCACTTGGGCACCCTGAAACCACGCGGTGAACGTGTGCGTGGCATGTCCCCAGCTCCTCTCTCCCGCCATCCCGTCTCCCCCGGCCCCTGGAAAACCCGCCGGCGGGCGGGGCTGGGAACCCTGGTGGGCGTCGCCGGCTGCGCGCTGCGCCGAGTCGGGACAGGTCCCAGCCTGCGCGTCCTCCGGGCAGACGCTACGGCTGGCGAGGGCCCCGCCGAGCGGCGGGGATGCGAAGGCGGGTGTAGGGTCCCCGCTGCCAATCAGCACACGCCCCACCCTGCCAACCCCACGGCCCGACCCCCGCCCCACCCCGAGCTGTGACCCTCGGGAAGCGGCGCTGAGCGCACCCCGGGCCCCTGGCGCGATTTCCAGCGTCCAGGGCCGCGCTGACGGTCCCCTTTAGGGCGGGCTGGGAGAGGCCAGGGCCACCGCGTGCCCCGATCCCTGCACCTGGGCGCAGTGCTCGGTGGTGGCCGCAGGTCTCGGCAGCGGGAGGAGCGTGGCCGGAGGCCCCGAGGAGAGACGGCAAGTTGGGTCTGGCAGCCCAGCTTCGGGAATTTTCGTCCCAAGCCACGCCTTGGAGAGACGCGCCTTGGGCTTCGAGCCCAAAACCTGAGCAACAGATGACGGTCCCCCCCTGGCGGCCGCCGCCGACATAGACATCTCCACCAAGGCGGGCGCAGGACCCGCGGGTAGCTTCTGAGCGTGGCGTCCTGGGGACCGAGATCCCTGGACTCCAGCCCTTTCAGCCCTGCGACCTGCAGGCTGATCTGTCCCTTTCGATGCCCAACCCATGGGGGGCGGGTGGGAAGTAGTAGGACTGTCCGCTTCTCTCAGTAGCAAAGTCTGAATCTCCCCAGCCCTCCAAGGCTCACTGTTAAGAGGTAACTTTTATTCAGCCATGACAAGAACTTATACATATCTTAAAGTATTTAGGTAAAGATGTCTCCAGGGGAAAGCAAAATAGATAGTGGACATTATTGGCACAAGTGGAGAATAAATGGTAGCTGCCATCTGCGCGTCGGACCTTAGTGATCCATCTGTGTGAGTTCCTGCTTCTCACCGTTGTCCTGCGATGGATATGTGGGAGACTTCTTGTTTGTGTCAAACACACAGTAAAGTATTGGGGGTGACCAGACAGAGTGTTGGAGACTTATTTGGAAATTAAAAATTGGTAATAATCGCCAAATGTGGTGGTGCTCACCTGTAATCCCAGTGGCTCAGGAGGCTGAGGCAGGAGGATCAAAAGTTTGAGGCCAGTCTCAGCAACCTTGTCTCAAAAAAAAAAAAAAATGGCTGTGGATGTGGCTCAGTGGTTAAGTGACTCTGCATATTTGCCATTTTGACACATGTGTACACAATATACATATTCTTTCGGGTACCCATGTTCTCACTTACTGTGAATCGTTCATCAATTCCCCTGTGGACTTCTAAACACAAGCACATATACCATTTTTCCCTCTGTGAATTAATGGTAGCACCCTCCAGCGGCTCCACCTCTTGTTTGTCACTTAGACCCAGAGTCCTAGTATCGTTCATGAGTCCCTATTTGCGTTGGTCACTGTGCTAATCATTCTGTGGATCCTCAGATCAACCCTCTGAACTTCATCCTCAGTATACAATGGTTTCCAAATAATGACTCTGATGCACCAGAAGGTTGATTTGTTGTTCAAGGTCACACATCATCCAGAGAATATGATTCCACATAGCAGGGTCTAAGTCACTGGACATTTGTGTTTTGTTTAACATCAACTTTATTGCCGTATTCTCTATACACAATAAAATTTATCTTTTTGGGGTGCACAGTTGCATGGATTTGACAAGCAAATCCAGTTGTGTGACCACCACCACTATTAAGTTACAGGACATTTACCTCCCCCTCTCTCCCGCACTCCTGTCCCTTGACTGCCATCTACCTGCTGTCTGTCCTCATTATTTATTATTGGGGATTAAACCCAGTGGCACGCTACCACTGAGCTACATCCTCAGCCTTTTTTGTTTCTTATTTTGAGACAGGAGCTTGTTATGTTGCTCAGGCTGGCTTTGAACTTGCGATCTTCCTGCCTCGAACTCCCGAGTAACAGATTACAGGCATGCACCACTACACCTGGTTTATCTTCATAATTTAGTTTTTCCTGTTTTCGAACTTGGTATAAAATTACAGTACTCTTCTCATAAAGGTCTGGTTGTTGCTTTTTGAAATTTTTTTCAAAAATTTTTCTGTTCAGTGGGGCACAGTGGTGCACGCCTGTAATCCCAGTGGCTCGGGAGGCTGAGGCAGGAGGATCTCGAGTTCAAAGCCAGCCTCAGCAAAGGCAAGGCACTAAGCAACTCAGTGAGACCCTGTCTTTAAATAAAATAGGGCTGGAGATGTGGCTCAGTGGTTGAGTGTCCCTATCAATCCCTGGTATCAAAAACAAAAAAAAAAAAAAAGAAGAAGAAGAAGAAAAAGAAGGAGGAGGAGGAGGAGGAGGAGGAGGAGGGGAGGAATCTTTGCCCACTTACAGTCACAAGGATTTCCACTGATGTCTTCTTGTTGTAGCTTTACACTTTGATCATTTGTGTTTAGGTCCATGATCTAATTTTAGTTTCCAGTAGTTCAAGTTCAATGTTAGTACATAAAAATACTGGGTGTTTATGGCTGCTGTAGGTGTTGTCTGTTGGTTGGTTGTTTTTGATTTTTTTTTCTTGGTGTGTTGACTTTATATTCTTCACCCTTGTTAAATTAACAATTCAGCTCTTGTAGCTTTTTCTGTAGTTTTTTTTCCTAAGTTTTCTACAGGTTGACAGTCATGTCACCTGTGAGTTTTACTTCTTGCTTCCTGATCTTTATTTCCTTCCCTGATCTTACCTGCCTTTTGCATTGGGTAGGACTTTTGGTGCGGGTTACACATTCCCCTCCAAAAATCCAAATTCTGAAACGCACCAAATTGGAGATTTTTATTTATTTTATTATTATTATTATTTTATTTATTTATTTATTTATTTTTTGGAGATGCTGGGGATGGAATTCAGGACCTCTTGCGTGCTAGGCAAGTGCTCTACCCCCGAGCTACACCCCCAGACCTCGGTGATTTTTTGAGCCCTGGCATCTTGCCCAAAGTGGAAAATTCCACATCTGACTTCCAGGCACAGATGACAATAAAATTGCAGGCACACTGAGGATGATCCACAGACTGGGGCTGGGGCTGGGGCTGGGGCTGGGGCTGAGTGGTAGAGCGCCCGCCTAGCACGCACAAAGCCCTGGGTTCGATCCTCAGCACCACATCAAAATAAGTGAATAAAATAAAGGTGATGTGTCCAACTACAACTAAAAAATAAATATTTTTAAAAAATAATAAATAGGCTTACCTTTGAGCTAGGTGTATAAGATGCACAGGAAACATACGAAAATTCCATATTTAGACTTGGGTCCCATTTCCAAGATATTTCATAACAGATAGACAAAGATTCCAAAATCAAAAAAGAATAATAAAATATTCTGGAAATACTCCTGGTCTCAAGCATTTAAGATAAGGGACACTTTTCTTGTCCTGTGTTAAAAAGCTCTGGTAAGAGGAGGTGTCTTTGCCTCGTGTCCCATCCTCGGGGGGAAAGCGTCTTCCTGTTCTCCACGAAGCATGTTGCTATAGGATTTTTGTAGTTGACCTTCATCAGGTTGTGGATTTTTTTCTTGTTTTACTTTGCCGGGAGCCTGCCTGCCTTTCTAGGGATTGAACCTAGGGGCGCTTCCCCTCTGAACCACATCCCCAGCCCTTTTTAAGACAGAGTCTCACAGAGTTACTGAGGGGCTCACTAAATTGCCCAGGCTGGCCTCGAACTTGTGATCCTCCTGCCTCAGCCTCTCTAGTCACCGGGATTACAGGCAAGCACCACAGCACCCGACTTAAGGTTTTTTTTTTTTTTTTTTTAATCATAAATAGGTTGTGGATCTTCCTCAATACTTTCTATGAGTCTGTTGAGATTTCCATTTGGCTATTTTCATCCCGTAGTTTGGATTTCCAGTGTTAAAGCATCATGGCATTTCAGGAACACACTCGATTTTACACACAGGCTGGATTCCATCTCTTAATATGTGGTTCAGGGTGTCTGCGTCTGTGTTCAGGGGAATATTTGCAGTTTCCTTTTCTTGTGACATCTTTGTCCAATCTTGGACTCAGGGCAACAACCACCTCATACAGTGATTTGGGACGTGTTCTCTGCCTCCATTCTCTGTGTCGGAATGGTCATTTTTTCCTTTGGTACTTGATAGAATTTATCAATGCCACCATTTAGACTTTGTCTTTCTTTGTGGAATTATTTTTAAATCACTGTGCTTGTTGTGGATCGATTTGCAAACTTGAGTCAGTTTTGGTAATTTCTGTCTTTCTGGGAATTTGCCTATTTCATCTAAATTGCCTAAATTGTTGGCATAAAGCGGCTCATAATTCTCATATAATGTTGGGGGGTGGATGGAAGGAATGGAACCCAGGACCTTGTGCATGCGAGGCAACACTCCACCGCTAAGCTACATCCCTACCCCTTTTTATTTTTTAGAGACAGTGTCTCTCTAAGTTGCTGAGGTTGCACTCAAACTGTGATCCTCCTGCCTCAGCCTCTTGAGTTGCTGGGATTACAGGCATGTGCCACTGTGCCCAGTTAGAATAACGATTATTATTATTATA